TGCTTTATTTTCTTAGTTGAAATTAAAATGGCAATCTGCAGCTTGTAAAATGAGCCTTCAGGTGGTGATGACTGATGAATGTCGATGTGTACTTCTTTCAGCAACGGAGCTCTAACGCCCACCTGTCGCAATTGACCCTGGAACGGTAACATTGACCTCAATTGCCTAAATTGATAAACTAAAGGGTAACTATCCATACTTAATAAGGTGAAGGGCAAATTTTTGCAAAATCAATAAAGTGAGAGGCAATCCAAGGTCTTTTGCCCTTGAGTGGGAAACACTACTGCATCCTGTGTTCGATAAATACCCTACTACAAATCTCCTTTAAAAAAAAATAAAAATAAATACATAAATAAAAATCAGGTCCTTACTTACATACTATTTAAAAATTAAAGATTATTAACCCATTAATAATTAATTTTAAAAAAATTTGTCCACATATTAATTGATTTGAGGTGTACTTTTCACATGAGTATTAACTAGATGTCATGCCCATTCTATTAACCAACACATTAAAATCCTGTCTTCTTGCTAGTACTGCAAACCAATGACCTATTGTAATGCTTTGGAAAACGTATTGTTACTTGGGATCTATTAAGGGTTGAGTACTTTTTGTATCTAAAGAAATAAAAATTTTAATTTATCAAAAAAAAAAAAAAAAAACTCAGGATCTATCAGGTGCATGCAGAGACAAGTTGTTTGAAGGTGTAGTTTGCCATCATACATGATGGTGATGATATTGCACGAGCCGAAGATACTATGACTCCTCGAACAAGACCTTAACATGCACTTCATAACTCCAAAACTTGGATACTGGGTTCAGTCATCAATAAAAACTGTGTTTAAAATATAAATACTTATGGAGTTATTATAATTGTACGCTCGTAAATAAAATTGATTTCAAAAAAATTTTCATGAATAATTAAAATAGTTTTTTTTAGATGAACAATTAAAATAGAATAGTTAGAACCTTGGTCGCGGGTTTGCGTTGCACACGCCCGCTCTAGATGCAATATTGTTGATGTACCTCGGTGAAGATTTACGTTGTGGTGGTGTTTTGAACTGTTGGATCGACTCTGCACCGTCGACCTGTTGGATTGCATCCAATTCCATACTCTTTTCTACCAATCAGTGATGGCAGCAACTGTAACTTTTGTTTAAGCCTACTAAAAATTATCAAAATTTTAATTTAATTTAATATTTAATAAAATAATTAATATTTTATATTTAATAAATTAAGATTAATTTATAAATAAATATTTTTAAATACTATAATTAATTATTTAAAAAATTATAAATTGATAAAATTACAGTTAAATTAATGACCTTAATAAAAGTTATGATAGCAATAATATTAACCATCATTCATAGCTTATTTGGTTTTGAGAGAGAGAAGAGAAAGGGGGAGGATCGAAGAGATTTTGAATAATAAGAAATTACTCTTTTTGTTTATTTTTTGTAATCTTATTTTAATTTTTTTACTTTTTAAATATAAATTTTAAATAAAGTTTTAACAATTTATATTAACAATAATTAAAATTTATCACCTATGCACTTTGCTTTTAATTGATATGTTGTTAAACTCAATCATATAAATAAAAAATATCAACTGCAAAAGTAATAAATATTATGTGTGCCTAATTTTAATATTTCTTTCCATGTATGCAGGCACCAAAAACATGTTCAATGTATAAGGAATATTAATACTACACAAAATAGACAAATCCGCACCTTTCTACTTATTTTGTAATGAGTATTGAAAAGCTCATTTAAATTTATTTGCCTTAATACCCTGTGCATCATCCTCTTTGTCGGAATAGAAACAAATATATATATTGGAAAATGATGTATGCACACTCGGATCCAACACCCGGGTGTGCACACTTACCATATAAACAAAAAATAAAAAATAAAACTCATCACCTGGTCCATTTTTTTTTTTTTTTATGTGGAGGGTGTACACCTGGGTGTTGAATCCGAGTGTGTACCAATCATGATCTTATTTTTTAACACGTGACTTGACTTTGTTTTTTGGTAAATTTCTTTTGACTTTTTGAATTCTATCTTAAAAGAGTAATAATTGAAGTCAAGTATGACACATGTTAATTTCATAAAATAAAATTTAAATATATCATAAAAAAAACTTTCGAGGAAAAATTTATTATGTGTTACATTC